TTGCATATGGTGTACACACGGGAGAGTTTGGTTTGAATTTCGCGCCAAGCTACACGAGGGCTATCTGCCCCAATTTAGCAGTGAAACGCAGCTAGTTATTATCATCACCCAACGTCATCTCTTAGGTTACTATTTTACCAACGAATAATGGATTTGATCGTACCATATTTGGTCGGACGTGGATTTGAACCCGAGCTCCTTAGATTGGAAGTCGAGCTCCCTAACCACCTGGCCATGCCAGGCCACACGTGAGAGAAATAAGATACCTTGTATATATCTTCTTTATGGCACGTAACAATATCTCTCATATAATTATATAAATAAATATTTTTCTCGTGTTTTGTTTCTTTACATTAGAATTTATTCAGAAATTAAGACTGATTCACTCTTGAAAGTTTCGGCACAGCTATAACACCCCTTTCGTACTCATACGAGTTTAATGCCTTGAGTTGGGTTGTAAATAAAAAATCTGATTACTTGTTAGTTGTATACGAGCTCCCCCTACAAATATATTATATATATATATGTGTGTTAATCTAGTGTCTTGCCGGACTATGAACTCTGGTCTATTGCTGTTGGTATCAATTGTTTATATAATGGTTGAGATAAATCAGTCAAGTAAACAACTTTGCCCCTGAAAAAAACACGTAAAATCAAGTTCTGATTGGTTAGATTTCTGAATACAGCGAAACTTTATAGGGCCCGGATACAATAAATTTAAATTGTTAAAAAAAGGACAATACAGAAATATGATGAAATTAAAAAAAAAAAAACATATTCGGTTTAATTTTTGGACGTTTGTAGATATATTCAGTGTAATATTTTACAAGTAGATGACGTAAATGTGATGTACAAACCATCTTCAGTATACAGTAATGACACGAGAGAAATGGCAGTTTAAACATTTTATATAAACCATGAATTAGCTTTTGAGCTTTTATTTAATCATTACTTTTTTCCAATTATATTTATTTCGTTTTGTTTTTTGAAATTCGCGCAAAGCTACACAAGGACTGTTTGCGCTAGTTGTCCCTAATCTTGAGTTAATATGCTAAGGAGAAGTCAGAAAGCCAACAGAACCGGTTCCATCGCCAACTCTTGGGCTGTTATGATTGACAAGTGAGATCTTGTATAATTATTAGAGTTAATTTAAGTACAATTTTCTAAAGATAAATATACAACAACTATGAACGTTACTACGAAATTCTACACTACTGAAAAACACAATATAATGTTAAACCGCAAGACAATTTATCTGAACCACCACTAAATTTGATTTTATATTATGCAAAATACATTATTAATATTGTTACGTCTCCGTTCGTTAGTTAATTAATTTTCCGTAAATTCGTTCCAACGAAACTTTA